ATTGTAAATAAAATAAATCAATAAATAGCTTTATTCCAGGAGTAAATATACATAAATTTTAAATTATTTAACTCTATTCATTTTAGGCGAACGAATCCAAGAAAGTATATTTAATTATCATAAATATGTATATACATATATATATATATATATATATATATACAATATAAAATTTAATATTAATTTTATAAATTCGTTACTTTAATTTAAAAAATTCGTTACTCATTGCCCCAATAATAACAAAATTAATCTGCAACTATGATTCCGTAATAGACAAATATACTATTCATTCAAATTATAGCTGCTGAAAATGATATTTTAAAAATTAATTCTTATGTATGTATCAAATCTTTTTGCTTTTCATCTGTTACTGAAATAAATAAAATGTGGCTTTAAAAATAATCTTTATAGAAAAAAACTCATAAAATTTTAAATCTTTTTTTTTTCAAATATAAATTATTAAAATATATTGATTCAAATAAATAAGAAAAAACGATCAATTTTATATTGACAAGACATGTATTTACAAAGTTATTCCATTTCAATGTCCGATATCTCTCGTACGTCTCTTTTTCTTCGCAAAATGTCAAATTATCAGGTTCCCTCGCAGTATAGAACACATGTGAAAAGCAGTCGTAAAACCACTCGCCAAAAATTTTTGTCGATTATAATTGCGCGTGGACTAATTTTAAATAAAGTTTTTTGCGCCGATACTTTACAGAATTCTACAGTTGTCCATGAAAATATCAAATTCCATCACATCTCAGCAAACTTTTCGAGGCACACGTTAACTCCAAGCAAGTATTAAGCTCAAAGTGGAAAAAGACAAATTGATTTGATGGCTATTATGAGAGAAAAGTCACCGAGGCTAATTATCTAGACAATCTAGACAAGAGAGCTTCTCAAAAACCGTCAGCTAATCTCAAGTCATATTAAAATTGCTATTTACTAGGAATTGGAAAAAAAAAGATTTATCAATGAAAACTGATCTTTAATTGTCACATAACAGCCATTGATCAATTCGTAACAATGATATATTGAAAACAGAAATCAAAAAAACTAACAAGGTCAAATTAATCGATCAAAGTCTTGCTGATTGAGATAGAATCATTTATCGAAAACAGAACATGTTTTTAATTAGCTGCTTATTGCGATTAATACAGCTGCACGAAAACAATACATTACGAGTGTATAAATGTATGTGTATGCTGCTGACATCATCCATCAAAGATGAATACATATTTATGTACATAAATCCTAAGTGGGAATTTACAAATAATCTAATTTTAGCTCGATATCGGGTATTTTAATATTAATATTTTAATATTAATAAGCTACTGTGATGATTGATTTAATATTGGCATGACATTGGAATGGTAATTCTGATGCAGTATCGGTTGTCAGTGTCATATCTATATTAGATTATTTGATATTGTTTTAATACTGTTTTCTGATATCAGTCTATCGATATCAATAAATGATATGGACTGATTGCTATTGTAATATTATTATACTATATAAGGCTTTTATTATATGATCATTACATTTATATTAGCTAGTAACATTAAAACCAAAAAAATTTTACTTTTTACCTATAATTATATTATATAATTATATTAATTATATTATATATTATTTATATGTCACCATTTTTAGTAAGTATATTTATAAAATATGTTATTTCTTTTCTTGATTAAATAGATAACTATAAAGTTTAATTACTTTATAAACCTAAACCTAAAAACAAACCGCGTATAAATTATATTTATATATATTAATAAAAAGATTATATTTATTAATAGACATGCGTATAAAAAAGCTTGCGCACAAAAAAACATCAAGAGAGGAATTTTTAGATTTTATATTTTACCAATTTTGAACTTCTTTGAACAATATAAAAAAATATTATATACTATAATTGTATCTTTTAAAGTCAAATCAAATAAAAAAAAATAAAATAATGATTAAATAAGTAAATGCGTATTAATGATTAAAATAAGTAAATGCGTATTTAAATATATGTTATTCTGAAATATGAAACATAAATATATTTATTTTAATTGACAATAATATCATTACAAATAATTTGTTATTAGAAAAAATTGTCGCTTTTTTGTGATGCAAATGGAATTGTTCATTTTTTTTTACTTCGAACTGCGAGGATAATTATTAACTCAAAGACCATACATTTTGATATGATTTTTCACATGTATTCATACGTAGGAATTGTTGTGGATAAGAAGATTGCAAGTTGAAAATACTTTATTTTATGCTTTCTTTGACATATTAACCAATTAAATGTTAAAGATGTTTAATTATATGAGTATTTTCTTGATATCCATGATAATTATTCATAGCATGAAGTAGATATGTACATAGTTATGATACAAATTGATAGAATCTGAATTTTATATTTTCAACTAAAAAACATAATTTTAGAAAGTAATTAACGTACGTTGTAGT